CAGCATGTGATACTGGGGATCAAACCACAGTTCCTGCGTTTGCCTAAGCTGGTGCTTTAGACCACTGAGCTATTTTGTTGGCCCCAGTCTTACTTTTTAATGTTCACAATAACACGAAAATTAAAAACTGTGGTAATGATTCAAATTTCTACATGTATAAAATATCATACCCTAAATATCTTTTCCAATTAACTGCTGTCACAGGTTTTCAGTACATAGATTAAAATACAATCACCACGCAAATATAACAGAGATGAAAAAGCACATACAAAAATTCTAATTTAAGTATATTTCTATATATTCTATAATTCAAGAAAATGATTTTATCAAAAATTTAGTTTGATTGTATTTATTTATTTATTTATTGCAGAACTGGGGATTGAACTCAGGCCCTTGCGCTTGCCAGGCAAGCGCTTATTCTACTGAGCCATCTCCCTGGGCCCAGATTTTATCAAAATTTTAGATTTATGTCTCAACCAATACTACAGCATTCTCTCTTTCCAATCTCTTCCCATCTATAAGTACGTTCTAATACATCCCTGGTCTAAAACTTTAAGTATTCTAAAAATACAGTTCCTTCAACTTATTACATAAGGATGTCGGGCACATTACACATATAATATCATATATTATACATTTCTAATCCCAAATATCTTTTCCATTCATTGCAAAATTTGTGCATTGATTTCTATGAACAAAACAGAAACGTAATACATTGGATGCCTAACCTCTTGATTTTCTACTCCATTGCTGGAAAGCTCCAAAATAGAACCTCCACTGTCAATCACTGCTGATGCCATTGCTTTTTCCCCTGAGGAAGCTTCAAACATTTATGAATCAGTGTAATTAAAGGTTTTACAGAGTTCATAGATGACTGCCACTGTTACGGATTTAACTTATGTTTTAAAAGTCAACAGAGATGGAGAGTAGACTTCCAGAAATCCAGTCTTCTAAAGATGATTAACCCAAGAGCAATTTGAATGTTAACTAATTTAAGCATCCTTCACTATTTTCACAACTGGGCAAGGGCTAAAATGTGAACCAGAAGTTCTTTGGAACCTTGCCACTCTCCGAGGTGCCCCCAGGCCGCACCGCACCCCAGCTGTTCTCAGTACTCTGCCCTCCTTGGCAGCGGCACGTTCAGGACTAGTCTCTCCACCCGTTTTCTTGAAGGGTTTTCTCTGTATACTCTAACCAACATACCTGGACTTACTTTCTCTCCTGATCAAAGCTTTTCTAAAGAGTAGCTGTCTGGGTAGGGATAAACTGGTTACAAGTCCAATAAGAGCTACAAGGATATTTATCAACATAGATGCTACATGCCCCAGACCCAGTCCTAGCCCAAGTCCGGGGCACAACAGGTTCACCCTTAAGGGCAACAGTGGGAAGGAGCTGAGCAGAGCAGTGAGACCCAAGCCAGACACAGCTGGATAAGTCCAAACTTGTAGAGCTGCACCTGAACTTCAGTACGTGTGAAGGTTATAACTACAGCAAAGATCTACAACAAAGGTCAGAAGACAATGCTACACAAAATGCCAAGAAGGAACAAAATG